GAATTATGTTCAAGTATTAAATTAATTAACTTTGCTTTTTCATTTCCATAATTTTAACAAGAAGCTTCTCCATTTTTTTTAAAGCTCTGCTGCTATTCTTTACGTCTCTTTCCCTGTTTTTTTTTTTCTTACAAAAAAACTCTAAATATCAGCTTCTATAGATCTACACTGTTGGTAAACAAACAAGACCTTCATAGTTTAAGATGTAGAGATGAAGAAAGGATCCAGTTCTGGTTCTGATGATGAAGCTGAATCTGTTTAGAATCAGATCTTTCTGCTTCTGAAGGTGAAGATGTTCTGGTCTGACCATCTGCTTGTGGAGTGAATCCAGAGCAGAAGATCCAACCTAACTAGAAGCTGTGGAGCAGTGGGATCAGCAGGATCAGGAGGGGGCCGTGTCCCCTCCCTGACTTCCACAGCAACAACTGGAGGAGGTTATACATCAGGAAACAAGGTCTGACTGGAAATTTTAATGACAGTCAGAAAAATACTAAAGTTATTTTTCTAAAATACTAACAGTAGTTTTGTTAAAAAAAACTTGAAAATGACTGCTTGCATTATACTACATTACTTATTAACAGATGTAACCCATCTAAGAACATTACTTATGGAAGCCAACTGAGACCAATAATTAGTTAAATTAATTAAGATTTCTTTCAGTATTGTTTTATTTGTACTCAAGTTGTCAAAAGTATAACACTTGTTTGTTGTATATGCATCTATGTAATAAAGATGGGTTACATCTGTTAATAAGTAATGTTGTAGTATAATGCAAGTGGTTGTTTTCAAGTTTTGTTAAAAAAAGACTAGTTTTTTACAAACAAACTTTAGTATTTTTCTGAATGTCATTAAGGTTTCCCACCACAGTGGGTAGTTCCAGGCTACATCAACCACAGATGGAATTGAACTCAGACTCTGCACCACTGGCGCCTTACGGTCACAAACAATCCCACTCTGCTATGACACCTGTCACACTTTGGACTTTTCTCCGGGCGCATTTATCTTTTTGTTTCTTCTTCTACATTTGGTGGAAAAAGATAACATCAATTTCTGTGGCATTTGAACCCATGAGCTTCTAGTTTTAGAGTCAAGGCTTTATCATCCATGCCAAACTTTTGGACATCTGGTTTTTTTCTCCGGGTGGATTTATCATATATGTTTCTATATAACTTGACAAGCCAATGCTTTGACAAACACCAAAATCCAACAAGGTTTTGATCTTAAGAGCTTCAGGTCCAGGTCTGGTTGTTTCCACCACTGGACCACTGGACCATCCACGCTTTGACTTGTTCTCATAGCAGATCTATCCTCTCAGTTTCTACATTGACTTTGAGAGCAGATGAGTTCCCCACTACACCATTCAACCTTCCTCACTTTAACTTAAAAATGACCGCTTGCATATAAAACAACTAACTAAATGTTCCATTTACATAATCATTAGTTATACTTTTGACAACTTGAGTGCATGTAAAAGAAAATCTAGTTGAAGCAGATACTAGAAAGTAGAAAAGATCTTTATTCATTATGGGTTAAATTAAATTATACCTTCTCCTTCTAAAATCTGACAGAAAAATAGAACAATATTCAGCATAGTTTGATGTCAAACACGACATATGATGAATGCAGGAGTACAGTATTATTTTTATGAAGCAACATCTCCAATTACCATCAATAAGATCCCAGATGACATCAAATCAAACAGTTACTAAACATTATATGTTTTAGTTCAATCCTAATGATTGAACTCTGATGTTTTCTTTATGCTTTGCATTAAAACCCTTAACATTATTGTTTTATCTATCCTTTTTAATTACAGGTATTTTGACAGTCACACTTTAAGAAACTGAATGAAATGAAAACAAACGTGGAAAACTGGGGAAAATAATCACATGTCAATAAGAGTTTGTTACATAAAATGAAACAGTTATTTTATACAGTTATATTATATCCGTAGTCAGTCAGTCAGTCAGAGGCAGCAGAAGCAGCTGGTTTACATGCAAAGTCAATGGTTGACGCGCATCAAGGTGCAGCAAAAGATCCTGTTTACTAGTGGTTCCTAGAATTTCTAAAAGTAGAATGGGAGGCAGATCTTTTAGTTATCAGGCTCCTCTCCTGTGGAACCAACTACCAGTTTTAGTCCGTGAGGCAGACACCCTGTCTACTTTTAAGGCTAGGCTTAAAACTTTCCTTTTTGATAAAGCTTATAGTTAGAGTGGCTCAGGTTATCCTGAGCTATCTCTATAGTTCTGCTGCTATAGGCTTAGACTGCTGGAGGACATAGGGACCCCTTTTTCATCATTCTGCTTCATTCTATCTCTATTCTCCCACTCTGCAGAATCTCTTAGTTCAATCTCTAGATGTTGGAGCATGGCTTTTTTTTCAGTGTAGCCCTGTTTCTCTGACTCTGACTAACTGGATGTGCTCTCTTCATCCTCTGACATGGGAGCTGGCTGTGTGTTTCCTGGACGGGGCTGCCTTTTACAGCTGCCTTTAGTATCTATGCTTCTTTTTCTATGTCTGCTTCTGTGTCCTTGAACCCCAGTCGGCCTCAGCAGATGGTCGCTCACACTGAGCCTGGTTCTGCTGGAGGTTACTTCCTCTTCAAAGGTTGTTTTTCCTCTCCACTGTCGCTACAAAAATGCTTAGTGTGAGGGATTGCTGAGGTGACAATGAGTCGATGCAATCAGCTGGTTTTCCTTAGATAGAAAACTTTGAATCAATCTGACTGGATGATCTAGTGAACTGAAAAGTGCCTTGAGATGATGTGTGTTGTGAATTGGAAATATAGAAATAAATTGAACTGAATCAAAAAACTGAATTAACAACAGAGCAGATTATATATTCCATCATTTAAAACATTTTAAACAAGGGCAAAGACTGGAAACCAAACCATAAATAAGAGGAAAATTAGAGACCAGCACTAATAAACCTCCTCAGTTATTATTTTAATCAAATTAAATTACTTTGTGCCTCACCTGGATGCATGAATATGATTGGTTGATTCATTAGAAAGTTAGAGCCCAATCAAACGAATAAAGCAGAACAATGCTGAGGTTCTTGTGGAACACTAAGCTGCTTTTCTCTCTTAGCCATCAGATGTGACAGCTTCATAGGATGCTAGGAGCTTTTTAGAAATCAAAGTGCTAAAGGGGTCTGAAAAGTGGCTAAATATAGCGACTAAAGCGCTAAGTTGGCAACACTGCTCTTTGCATGGTTTGTTTTCAAATGGTTTGCTGCTGTCTGTTTGGACCTTTCTGAACATGTGCAGCAAATGGACTGATCCAATATGGTGGACACTGAAGGGGGGGGGGCTGAGACACACTTAATATTATCAGCGTTCTGGCAAACCAAGACAACTGTAATGGTCTATGACATATAAACCGTAATAACATATAATATTTAGAAATATGAAGATGTGTAAGGTGTGGGATACAGCTTCCTCTCAGCTGCTGCTTTATTTTTGATCTTTGTGAAATGTTTTTTAACCCTTTGATAGCTGTTGTTGCTAATAAGCATTACACTACAAAAAATGTGAATCAAAATATTTTTTTCCTAAAATAATAGCATTTTTCTGATTTGAGCAGGTAAGTGAGACATTTTGCCATTGGAACAAGACAACGTACATTAAAAATAAGAAAAAACAACAACTGCAGTATTGTTTTACTCATTTCAAGTGCATAATATCGAATTATCTTATTTTAATGGTAAAATGCTCATTCCATTGGCAGATAATCTTATTTTGCTACTCATATTACGGGTAAATACACTTATTTTAAGACATTTTTACTCCTTTTCAGAACATTTTTGCAGTGTAGGCAAACAGCCGCCATAGCGTTTTTGCATCACCCCAGTGCTAGCCACAGAGTATGTTAGTATGTAGTTATAACTGCTGTTGCAAAATATACTTTACCTTCATTTCCATATATTTAATAACATTGACTGCTTTAATTTGGCATCTCATTGAAGGGGAAAAACACGCACAAAATGTCTTTTTATCTGTATATGTACATCATTCCAGACTTCAAGGGGTTAATCTCTAGAAAATGTGTCAGAAAAATGTAAAAACTTTGCCTGTTTTTTCAGCTAAAATGGATCCATGAAGGGGAAATCAAAAGGTGATCTGCACCAGCAGCATGGCTCTGTTCTTCCCAGCAGGCTGAAGCACTCTGAGCTGTTAGCTTAGCTCTGAAATAACACCACCTTTGTTCCAGACGCAGAGGAAAGCAGGCGTGAAGAGGCTCCGACTGGATCTGACCTCCTCTCATTCGGAGCAGAAACCATTGATGGATGATCAAACTGGACCAGAGGACTCAGTCTCTGACCTCTGACCTTCTGATGACTCAGAGGCAGTGGTGGTTCTACACTAAATGTACCAGGGGGCCAGGAGGGGGCCAGCGTTGTTTTCATGGGGGCCCAGAAAAGCATGAAATAAAGAAAGGGTTAGGGATTCAAATATATTAATATAGCTGCATAAAGTGACATTTCTATTCAATTCGGTTTAACTAAAATTCTATTTCTTATTAGCTCAATATACATTTAGAATTTAGGAATTTTACATCTTTTTGACTCAATTTAAGTTAATGAATTAGAACTCAAGAGAAGCAGATAAATTCAGCTGTAAGAATTAGAGCAATTTGTTTTGAAAAAAACATTTAGCAGATGAAAAATGGGATCCGATCTCAACACCACTGAAGCGATCACCTTATTGTTTTAAATAATTAGTAAAACAGAATTTGTAGAGGGAAAAAAAATGAAAAAGATCCAAAGGACCTATCAGTAATCATGTCTGTTCCAGCGCAGATCATCATTAGAATTTCTTTGAGTATTATGTCTTCAGTACAGGGGCCATAACAGGGGCCAGGACCTGATCTGCAAGGGCACTGGCCCCTGTTGGGCCCCGTCTAGAACCGCCCATACTCAGAGGTAGTTAATCTAAACGGGCATTTCTCCACGCATGAAGAAACAAACAAGCAGCCAAGCAACCAGGAAAAGTGCCAATATATCTTTTTTATAAATACTTTATTCCAGCAACTTAGATTCATATAAACAAGAAAGTTTTGCACTAATTTTCTCCACAGCAACCAGCTGAGGATGCAACCTGAGGCTCTGATCAATATTTCAAAGCTGTAATGTGAGGTATCGGCCCCCAGGAGCCGTCTATGGAGGAGCGGCTTCAGTTCCAGCAGAAATAAGGTTCACTGTGGCTTTTAATGGGAACAGAAAGAACTATCTGACCGGGGCGCTACGACTACAGTACAGCAAGGAAACCTGCAGGGCAATGAGGTGTGGTGGTGACCACAAGTAAAAAAATCACCCTCTGATTGAAGAAACCATCATTTCCTCACTGAGCTGTTTGCAGCAACAGATCAGATGAGCAGAGCTGCCCAAACATCTGCAGAAAACATCTGGAATAGAATCAAAAACATCCAAAAACTGCATCACAATGAAGCAAACATGCAGCCTGAAAAGTTTAGAATTGAGCTTTATTTCAGATTTCTGGGTTACAGGCTGAAAATTAATGAGAGAGAAAAAAGATCAACTTTACAGTTTGATCAGATTCAGATCAAACCTCCATGGAGCCACTAAATGGAGCTTAGCTTGAATTTCATCTCCATTGTTCCAAAGAGAAAAACAATATCAGACACTAAATGACAGACAGGATCAAATAAAGAGGAGAAAAATCTCTAAACTCAGAGTTCATCATCAGGATCCAGTCAGAGTCTCTTTAAACTCAAACTTCTGCAGCTTCAACCTCTGCGGATCATCAGGACACAGATCAGCTTCTCTCCTCTACTAAGATCATCAGCTCCAGTACCTGCAGAGAGAAGAAGGATGAACAGAGGAGATCAATGAGTGTTTCCAGCCTCTCTCTCTCCATCAGCTGTCAGTCAGTGATGCAGCACATCCAGGATAAAGAGCAGCAGGGACTTCAGTCCTGTTCAGAGCAGCTGTGGAGCAGCTGGACTCACTCCAACCATCTACTTACAGAGTCTTCAGTTTGTAGTCTGGACTCTCTTTAAGATCCTGCAGCTGCTGAACATCTGACTCCTTCAGGTTGTTGCAGCTCAGGTCCAGGTGTTCCAGATGTGAGGGGTTTGACTTCAGAGCTGAGACCAGAGCAGAACAGCTGATCTTTGACAAACCACAGCGCATCAAGCTGGATGAAGAATAGAAAGATGTGAGCTGATCCAACAGGATGCAGGTTAGAACAGTCCAACAGAACTAGTTAAAGAGCTCTCATTGATATTAATGCCAACATGCTGCTGCTCCAATAAAGACCTGCTGACTTCAGCAGAGAGAAGGAGAAATCACACACCAGACGGGCCCTAGAGCAATGTGCTTCTCCTAACTGGGCTTTCCTCAAAGCAGATAGAAACCCAAACAGGACTCCAGCAGAACCCAAACCCAGACCCAGACCAGTAGTCACTCCATATGTTGGGGAGTTTCAGACAAACTGAGGCCTTTATTTTCTAAACATGTCTGTCCTCCTTCTGAGAGTCGTAACCTGCTCTTCTAATCATCAGCCTATTGATCCTTTACTAGCTCACTGATTGACCTTCACACTGAGATGTGCACTGGAATGTTATTAGAATAAACAAATATACTACATCTGACCTCAATGTCTGTAGTTTGCAGAGGGGAGACTGGAGAAACCCACTGAGCTCCTTCATTCCAGGGTCCAGCTTGGTTCCACTCAGGTCCAGTTCTGTCAGATGGGATGGATTAGACTTCAGAGCTGAGACTAGAGAAGCCCAGCTGATCTCTGAGAAACTGTCGCCCCTAAATCTGAATAAAGAATCAAAGATTTTAGCTGAATTCAACAGGATGCAGTTTAAAACTTTCCATTAAAACATTCCAGCAGAATATGTGACCCCGGCACGTGATAAACACTAATCCAAGGACCATTGGTTATTTTCCTCACTGACACTGTGCTGGCCCAATCATACAGCATCACTGAACACATTCTCTCTTTGGCCAGGGTCACTGAATATAGTATAACACCGGTACGCAGCTGCTACCATACTGAGATGGAGATAAAGCCCAGAGGAGTCGCTAGAAACTATGGGAACAAAACTCTCTATTCAAACGGCTCCAAAGGTGGAAAATGACAGTAAGGTTTGCAGGACAGGGCCTTCATCAGCCTGAACTGATGCGTGTGATGGTGGTGGCCCACAATAACATAACATTTAAACATTTTGATCAAAAACTAATTAGATAACTTTCACTGTATTTCATATAATGGCTGCCTGCTCCACCATAACCTGACAATGAATGGAATAAAAATCAGACAGAGAAATTGGTATTTGTGCACATGGGGCACCGTGACTGTGAACTAGGAGCTCCATGCAGGGACGGACTGGCAGCTTGTCTTTACTTTAAAGGTACACTATGGAACCGGTGTTGATTTTCCAGCGAGGCTCCCCCCAGAGGGCGAAAGTAAAAGTGCACTGTCGTAAATATGCACAGCTGTTCTCCTGGTTTCTCCGTCAAGCCAGGCGCGGTTGTTTTGAGCTTAGCAGACAGGCGAACGCAACGAATGACTAATGCTGCGTTCACACCGCAGCTGGCGCGACAGAAGCAGCGAGTTTACATGCAACGTAACGTCAAGGCGCAGCAAAAGGTCCCGCGGCGCGTTTTGAGCAGCAGGCGCCGCACGTCTGAGCAGCTGAAGCAGCGCATCGGGCGCGTTTAAGCATCTGACGCAGGGAGAGAGACACAGCGCTGATGATCACTCCTCTTAAACAGATTATTGACGCCTAAATTAACTTAAAATGCAGAAATCTGCCGGCAGAATATGCAGTTTGGATTATTTAGATGAAAAACACCTACCAGCTGCCATGGTGAACCGCGAGGAGGCGACCAGGCCAGAGGCTGCTGATATGTGGGGGTCTGAGCGGCTCCGACAGAAAAAATATTGAAGGCAGGATAATAATCTGAATGAACTGACGGCACTGATTACGTTTTCAGGTGTATTTTCTCACTTAAAAACATATTAAAACTACTTTATTCCCACTGATCACAGCAAATATAGCTGCAAGGCAGAGAAAGGATAGTGAAGCTCCGCCCAAAGCGCGTCAGACACACTTTTGCACCGCGCAGCCAGAGCAGCAAAGCTGCTTCAGCCGCGCGTCAGAAATAACTGGTACAAGCAGCAAAAAGGAAGCAGCAGACGCGATTTTGCTGCGTCCGATGTGAACATAGCATAACTGCACAAAGATTGCCACTGTGCTAGCAACGAGAATGCTTTTAACTGGGGGCGTGTAGCAGTTCTCGCCGTAAAGCAAGACTGACTCTCACGAGACTTCTGAGCCTGTGGGTGCGGGTCGGTGCTCCTGCAACTGCAAGTGCGGTATTTCCCCCACAGACCACTAGGGCGGCCGAGAATACCTTTGTTCAACCTGAAATGAATCATTTAATCATCCATAACGTTATGGAACACATTAATTAACTGAAAAATGTTGCATAGTGTGCCTTTAACGGGCAGAACAGCTGCTCAGTCCAGGGATGTGGGCCTGCCTCCATCATTACACAGAAATAAAAACAACAAGAAGCAAATAACCCTGCAGCAGGAGAACAGGGCTGATTTCAGAGCAGAGGTGGAGCCTGGTGCGTCTTTGATCACAGGAACAGAAAGAAACGGATCAATCCAGACCAAAGATAGAGATTAAACCTTAATACTGACTCAGAGCAGGAAAAATTTTTGGAAATCTCTCATCATGAATAAAATAATTAAATTTGTTTTTAGGATCTGATCATTTGACAGATTCAACAAAATCTATTTAATCAGTTTCTACGATTCTCTGAGTTTAAGCTTGTCGGCTACCATACATTCCTCCTGTCTGCTGAACTGCTGCTAGTTTAGTTTGTGCTTCAAGTTGTTGCCCATAGGACGACGTTACTGGATATAACGGAATATGTTCAGAACGGCTCCAAATGACACAAAACTATGGGTCAGTTACTGCATCTGAAATATTGACCTTTCTGAAGGCCAGATGCTGAGTCAGCACTTTACCCAAACCATCATCATCTCAGTATCACAGCAGAGCCTTAAAGGGGTCATAGAATGCAAACAGATGTTCCATGGTAATAGATGATTAATGATAGTTCAGGGGGTGAAATGGACGTACAGAGAAGTTCAAAGTCCATCAACACCTCCTTTCTCTGCAAATCTCACAATTGTAAACTTCCACCATAAAACGGGCGAAACCAAACGAAGAACCGAGTTAACGTCAAATCAGGGATGTTGCCTTATTTGGTTCTGGCCTGTACTTTAGTCACGCCCTGAAATTGACATACAGTAAATGCAGAGTTCCAGGCTGCACAGAGAAAGGGGAACATTTTCACAGTCTTCCCAAGGATCCGACGACTTAACAGGCATGGATTATTTTTGTGTATCAGAAGATCCCTGCAAATTTGGATGCTCACTGACTGGACTGGACCGGGCATTCAAACTGAGCCATCAGCTCCGGGGCTGGTCCAGGTCCGACCGAACCCGACCCGGTGATGGTATGCATCCCCCCCGATGGTATGCTTCCTCCCGCCTGCCTTACCAGACCCTAACCAGCCCCGGAGCTGACGGCTCGGTTCTGCTGCACTGTAGTCGACCAAAATCCTGGAAGATTTTGAAATTCCCTCCGGACATTTTTTTAGGTATGAAGGACTGAGTCTTTGCTCAGCAGCTTGGCTCATTGTAAACCAACCAATCAGCACACAGTTCATCTAAATATTCATGATCAAACCATAAAAGGAAGAAAACCTGTCGTTTCGTTCTGGGGCTTTTAACCAGGCTGCATTAGAGCTCATAGAACAGCTAATATGCCATTTTCAGCCCAACCAATGTTACACACCCTATTCAGAGACCTTAAGGACCAGCAGCAAACATCCTATAGAATCATTCTATTACCCCTTTAAAGAATCTGTATGTATTTGTTGATTCATCTGCATTAAAAAAGAAAAACATGTGATTTAACAGTTTGGCTGATTATTCTCCCTTTTTCATTTTTCTCCCAGTTGTTGGACATGTGTTCATGCAGCATCTTCTGAAAAAGCAGCCTATTGATCCTTTACTAGCTCACTGATTGACCTTCACACTGAGATTTGCACTGTAATGTTATTAGAATAAACAAATATACTACATCTTACATCAATGTCTGTAGTTTGCAGAGGGGAGACTGGAGAAACCCACTGAGCTCCTTCATTCCAGGGTCCAGCTTGGTTCTGCTCAGGTCCAGTACTGTCAGATGGGATGGATTAGACTTCAGAGCTGAGCCCAGAGAAGCCCAGCTGATCTCTGAAAATCTGCAGCTCCTCAATCTGAAAAAAAAAATCAAAGATTATAGCTGAATTCAACAGAATACGGATTAAAGCTTTCCATTAAAACATTCCAGCAGAATATGTGACCCCGGCACGTGATAAACACTAGTCCAAGGACCATTGGTTATTTTCCTCACTGACACTTTGCTGGCCCAATCATACAGCATCACTGAACACATTCTCTCTTTGGCCAGGGTCACTGAATATAGTATAACACCGGTACGCAGCTGCTACCATACTGAGATGGAGATAAAGCCCAGAGGAGTTGCTTGAAACTACTGGAACAAAACTCTCTATTCAAACACTGATGAAGGTTCTCAGTCATCCAGGTCATAGTCATTCTGTAAAAATTCAAAAAATATCCACTGGACTTGGTTTCCAAGATTTGAAGACGTTTCACCACCTCTCCAGGAAGCTTTCTCAATTCAAATGTCTGGATCCGCAGTGATTTTGAATCTTATATAGACAACGCCTTGTATCGCTTGGAAACATGCAAATGGTAACCAATGAATGGGTCGTTTGGTTCCATCGTTAGCCGGTAATAACTGAAACCTGTCTATGATTCTGAGGGCCGGTCGTTAAAGGGGGGGTTGTCTCCTGTAATACCTGAAACCTGTCTATGATTAAGAGTCGGTGGTTAAGGAGGTATTGTTCACCGGCTGGAGCGGGTAGGTCCCTTGTTCCTCTGTGATGGGGTGGGCGGTTTTGTGATATCTGGAAGGGATCATGTCGATGATTGAATTGTATATTTTGGGAAGCTGGAATCTGAGTCCACCACCTCTGTTTAAAGTTGGTTTTTCGCTCTTAACATAGATGGCGTGAAGGAACAGCAGCTTTAGGACAAAGATTTCATGTCTTTTCTTCCTAAACATTAGTTTTTAGATGATCTTATTTTATTCTAGTTATTCTAACATGTTTGTGGTTCTGGTTGTCAGGTTTATTCAATGATGATTATAAAATTAATGCATGTGCATATGGAACTATAAAGGATAAGATGCTTAACTCTGTTTACTGCAAACTTTCATGCAACTTTGGTAGAAAACTGCTGATGTTTGTGCAAGGATAATCACAGTTATTAGGAGACCACTCTATTCTGTGATTCAATCAAGAGGAGCATTTTGTCCTATGACCCGATCAATTGCCTTGTCAGAAGAACAGTATTCTGTAACTCACCCCATGTGTTATGATCTGCTAATAAAAAGGCTTCTGCTGACGAAACCCAACAGAGTGGAAATGTGACTGAACGCAACTCTCTCCTCCTGCAGAAGCTGAAAATTCCTATTCTGTGCGGACTCTTTCTTTCTTTTTACTAAACCTGCAATTTTGAACGTAACACTGGTTCTACTCTAGAGGAACCAAATGTCATTCTGGATGGAAAGATGTGAATCAGAAATGAGAAATAAAGCCATCTTATCTTGTCTCATCATCTGAATCTTTCCCAAATCAAACTGAAACATCTCCATCATTACTTAACATCATTTGACTCATTTTCCTCATTTTTGTCCATCAGTCCAAAACATTAGAAAGTTTCAATATCTGGAAAATAAAGTTCAATATTTAGAACATCTGGAACAGAAAAAGAATTCATTTACAAGGTAAAAAGTCTGAGAAATGTTATTCTGACATTTGGAGAGCAGCTGTTTTTAAAGAAATTATATTAGAATAAAATGATGAACTAAAATCAGCATTAAAGTATCAGTGAATTATTTGGTTTGAATAAACAGAGAAAACTCACTGCAGCTTCTTCACTTTGCAGATTGAACTCTCCAGTATCTCACACAGATGCTTCATTCCAGAGTCTCCAAAGGATCTACCTCCATAGATCGTCTCTATTTCCACCACAGTCAGAGGAAGGTAGGACTTCAGAGCTGAGGCCACAACTTCACATTCAGCCTCAGAGAGCAAACAGCCACCAAGTCTGTGATTAGAAGAGAAATGAAGTCAGTTCTAATGAAATCAGACAATCTGGATAATAAACACAGACTATAACATGATGATCAAACAGTGATGTCATCATCTTATGAACATCTGCTCTCCACATTACTGATGGGTCCAGCAACAGCGATGCGTCGGTGCATGCGTGGAGCCCATAGAGCTATACACTGTATCGGTGCGCGTGTCGTTTCCAGAAAGTCATGTGACCGATACAGGAGTTGTTTCTAACTGACTGACTCACTAAACTGGGTTTAAAAACGGATGATACATCTGCTGAAAAAATGTGTAATTTTTTGTGATTTATCATTTAAATTATCAAGAATTTTGGAGCCTATAAGGAATAGGAATGTTTCAGCCGTTGTGTTTTTATTTTAATTTTCTCGTTGTGTCAAACTTTTCCTCTCAGATATCACTCAACTTATCTGACTTAAAGTTAATTTCAAATTGCCTCTAAATTTAGTGTTTTTACTGTACTTATTGTTTTAAAATATGATTTAAAATCCTAGTTTACAAACATCCTCATTCACCTTTTCCCCTAAATATCACGTTATGATATGTTTTTACATTATTCATTGGCTGCATCTAAAAATATCAAAGATATTTTCAATTTAAACATAGATGTGAAATAATACAATATAACCTACAATAACTTAAATGATATCATTGTACTAGGTCATCAAATCAATTCAGTTTAGTCTGTCCAATAAGCTGCCTGTAGTGTCTTTAAATGTCCAGCAGGTGTCAGTATTCTGTGAGACAGTATCAACGCAGCATCAATCCAGTTTGGCTTCAAGATGCCTCATTAACCATCACTGCTCCTCTTCAATGTCCTGTTTGACACCACAGAGAATCTCTTCAGTCTCTTCAGGTCCTGGTTCAGCTGCAGACCTGCTGTGTCTCTGCTTTGGTTAGAAGCTCCATTGAACCACAGTGATGGAGACAAACAGAGAAGCTGAGCAACAGGTTCAAACAGCTCAGGCTTCATGATCATGACTTTAGACTTGATGAAATCACTAAATGAAACATGAACCTGATGGAGGAGACAGAGCCTGAACTGGCCTATGATTTCACATCTTCTACAGGTCAGATGTTGCTAATAATCATCAGTTCCTAACTTCTCCTCTCTCCACAGCCCCACAGACATGTCCAACATTGGAGATGGGAAGCTGCAGAGCAGTGAGATCAGCAGAGAGTGAAGCCTTGTTCCCTCCTTTAACTCAGCCAAGGTTACTGATGTCAAACCTGTGATGGTTTCTAACAAGCATTCAAAAACTATTTTATATGATTGAAAACGTTAATCTTTTTATTGATGTTACTTTTTTATTGATTCTGTCTTTTGTTTGTTTGAAGCAGTGACGTGCGGTCAGGGGAGGCAGGTGAGGCAGTGCCTCACCAGCCATCATGGAAAGAAAGAAAATATATAATCATAAAGTAATTTAAATTGTTATATTCATCCTGTGGTTTGTACTAAAAAATATTTATTTTTCATGTAGCTTCACCAATTTCGATTTTTATTTGTTCAAAATCGGTGAATTTTCTTATTTTCCCATTCAAATGCTTGGAAGCGATGCCGGTGAGGCAGCAGCGAGCTCTGCCTCACCTTAGATTGCGCAACCCCCTGGCTGCTAAGCGGAGAGAGCATGTTGCTGTACGGCGTCAATAAAATGGTTTAAACAAATTTAATATGTGAACTTTTTTCCAATAATTTAGCTTATGTACAGTGCTTTTTGTCACCAACTGTGTTTGTGAAACGTGTTTCGTGTAATGAGCGATTATAAACGGCAGAGAACAGGTTCAACGTGAGGCAGGCAGTTCTCTTGCCTCATGGCAGGGGGTGCTCAAGATCCCAGACTTTCGTCTTGTTCATCGGGAGGCAAGTCAAGTGCAGCGATAGATTATAATAGAGATAGTGATTTTTTTCCTCTCGCTTATCCCGACTTTCGACATGGATGACTACATTATAACACTAAAAAAGTTTTCTCAAGTGGACTTTCAATCGAAGCAGGAGATAATAACCAAAGGAAGACCAACGCCGGAGCTGAAAGGTTTGTTTCAGACTATGGGACAGAAGGTTAACCGCTCTTTTCAAACCGAGTGGTATTCACGAAAAGACTGGCTTTGTGGATGTCCTGCTCGAAACCACCTTTTCTGCTTTCCTTGCATTCTTTTTTCAACTTGTGGCACTGTGTGGACTCAGATGGGATTTGGTGACTTGAAGAACTTGCAAAGATCCCTCACCAAACATGAGCGGTCCACCACTCATATTCAAAGCCAAATTGCGCTAAAAACCTTCGGCCTGTCCAGGATAGATTTGGCTTTGGATGAACAGCGGAGACTCAACATCAGCATCCACAATGCTAAGGTAAAGGAGAACCGAGAGATTTTAAAAGATCTCATCAATGCAACCTGCTTTCTCGCTAGACAGCAGCTAGCATTTCGTGGAAATGATGATGAATCATTTGATCGCTGATGTTGTCAAGAATGTTACAGAACAGGTGTCTCCGTTCATCTCTAGCCGAATGTCTGTCTGTACCATCTGTCAAACCAAGTGCGCCCGTAATAACATTTATTTTGTTTTGTTTTTTAAGGAAATGTGTGTTTTGTGAGCTACAGTTTGTATGTCTAAGGATGCAGAAGTGAAACATAACCTGTAAACTGCTGTCAATCTATGCATCTATTTGCAAATCTGATTCTGATGACGTCAGTGCCTCACCAGCTATGAACCTCACCGCACGTCACTGGTTTGAAGCAACTTCTTTTTTGATTGAATAATAAAGACACAAAAGTCCTACCGATTATATGGTCCAATCAAAAAACAATGTTACTTCAATTAAAAAAGTTGCTATATATAAAAAAGACTGCACTTCTATCAAATAAAACGTTTTCAATCAAAGAAAAGCAGTGTTCAAATGTATTTTTTTAGTCTCAAATATATTTTTGCATTACATACTTTTTTTCTTTCATTGAAAAGTTTTTTTTCATTGAAGTGTTTTTTTTATTGAAAATGTATTTTTTTGATTGAAGAAACCTTTTTCTTGATTGAATAATAAAGAAACAAATCTACCTTCATAGCCTCCATGAATGAAGAAAATGAGAGAAGATAGCATGTTAGCATGAATTAGGATCTTAGCATGAGCTAATGTTAGCGGGGTAAGCTGTATACATGGAAAACATACACGTATGTCTAAATATGAAAATATACATTCATCCCCTTATAATACTAACAGATAAATATTCTCCGAGGCCAAAACGTTTGTAAACTTTAGACAATCTGACTTCAGCTGACTGCTTAGCTGGATGTGATCAATTCAGCTCTGCTGAGCAGTTAATGGAGGAAAAACAACCTGAGCAGGTTACATAGCTGCTGCTAACGAACTGAGTGCTCACTACGATGCTGTTTATTACGTCCAAGAATATATACTTTTTAAAATCTACTAACAAACTGAACAGAGAATCGGGGAAGTAGAACTGCAGGCCCCACAAATTCATAACAGATAAAAGTGCTGAGAACAGATCTGATGTTTGTTTTACTGGTGATCTTATTTGCCGCCTACAGGGCGGAGGTGCAGCATCTGGTGGACTGGTGCAGAGGGAGCAACCTGATCCTGAACGTCGAAAAGACCAAGGAGATTATCGTTGACTTCAGGAAATCAAGACCCACCCACACACCCCTCCTCATCAACGACTCAGCTATGGAGGTCGTCAGTGTTGGGATCTGGAGCTGTACCACCTTCCTCCAGCAGAGTGCGCCGTGGGTCTCCAAGAGCTGGAGTCTTCCAGCACACCTGAGACGCATCTTCTCATCAAGAGACCTGCCCTATATAACCAGCTGCCAGACCTTGCTTTGACGCCGCAGTGTTGACCTAGTTTGGTTAGCGACCTGAGCCTAGAACCTGAGAATCTTTGCTGTCTCTTGAGAGAGATCTGATTCTAATTCTCCCTTGTTTTTGCCTCACAGGAACCCTGTCTCTACCTGAGGCTCTGGATGAGCTTAACCTGCCGAGATTGCCCTCGTGAGCCAAACCTGAAGATTCCTATGTGGATTCCCCTGCTGCTCTTGGCTAAGAGCTGGAAACTCAGATCAAGGTCTACCTTTAAAGTCAGAAGCAAGACGCTGCAGCTGCTCTTGGACTCTGCTGAACAAACAGTCTCTGGACCCAACAGTTCCCTCTCTCTCAAAGAGAAGCCCGGACTCCTTCAAGGTATTCTCCTGAACAATCTAAAGACTCATAACTCATCAGTCCGTTTCCTAATCAAACTATCATCTCTGCAGACTCCAGTGAACCTGCCCTGACCAGTTCCAGATCCTGTTCATAATCTTGTGTTTTTGTACAAACTAAATAAACTCTGTTAAACTTTTACCCAGCCTCCGTTGTGTTCTGCATGTGGGCTAAGAACTTAAGGCCCATCATGACAGTCAGCAGCACCAAGTTCCTGGGTGTGCACATCACTGACAACCTCAGCTGGTCACCCCACATCTCCTCACTGGTGAAGAAGGGCCAGCAGTGCCTGTACTTCCAGCGTCGGATGAAGAGAGCATCTCTCCCGCCCCCCATTCTTCAGACCTTCTACAGAGGGACCATGGAGAGCCTGCTGACCAGCTACATCTCCATCTGCTCTGGGAGCTGCAGGGCCTCTGATTGGATGTCTCTACAGAGGGTGGTGAGGACAGGGGAGAAGATCACGGTTGCGCCGCTCCCCTGCATCAAGAACATCGCGGACAGGCGCTGCCTATCCTGGGCTCACCAGATCCTCTCCGACCCCACCAACCCCAACCATGGACTCTTCCCCCCCCTGGCATCCGGCAGAAGGTTCCGCAGCATCTTCTACACAAAGACCAGACTACTGAACAGTTTCTTCCCCCTGGCCATCAGACCACTTAAATGCCACATAACAATTGTTATGTTTGTTTTTTGTGCAATGACAATACAGGAAGTCTAAGTTCAAGTCTATTTAGCAGCATTCACTGTCAGTGTTTGCTTCAGGAATCATCTCAAATCAATTTAACTAAAGTCAAATCCTGAGAAAAATGAACAACAAGTGTCTGGAACAGGTAGAACTTGTGATGCTGAAATCTGAGTTGTATCTGCAATACTTTATTCCTCCATGAGATGGCACTCACACAGGAGCTGATCCACAGAAACCTTTTCTGGACAACCCATTTAATGAAATGATGTAGCTTATTACCCTCTAAAGCCCCTGTCACACCTTGATGATTTAGCAAGCAAATGTCTGACATATGAAAGATCTGGCAAAAATACTGGAAAACAATGGATAAGTTATGGGTACTTTTCCAGTGTCATTCAGTAAAAATCAACCCTATGAACATTCCAAGCCAAACACAACCTCATTATTTTATTCAGTAAAATGTTTATCAATAGGTTGATCTGAACGTTCTTAGAAATAAAATGTTATAAAAAAAAAGGGAACACACATAAACTGCACAAGCAGCCTATTGATCCTTTACTAGCTCACTGATTGACCTTAACGCTGAGATTTGCACTGTAATGTTATTAGAATAAACAAATATACTACATCTGACCTCAATGTCTGTAGTTTGCAGAGGGGAGACTGGAGAAACCCACTGAGCTCTTTTATTCCAGCTTCCAGGTTGGTTCCACTCAGGTTCAGTTCTGTCAGATGGGATGGATTAGACTTCAGAGCTGAGCCCAGAGAAGCCCAGTTGATCTCTGACAATCTGCAGTGATTCAATCTGAATAAAGAATCAAAGATTTTAGCTGAATTCAACCGGATGCAGATTATAACTTTTCATTAAAACATTCCAGCAGAATATGTGACCCCGGCACATGAGAAACACTAGTCCAAGGACCATTGGTTATTTTCCTCACTGACACTGTGCTGGCCCAATCATACAGCATCACTGAACACATTCTCTCTTTGGCCAGGGTCACTGAATATAGTATAACACCGGTACGCAGCTGCTACCATACTGAGATGGAGATAAAGCCCAGAGGAGTCGCTAGAAACTACGGGAACAAAACTCTCTATTCAAACGGCTCTAAAGGTGGAAAATGACTGTAAGGTTTGCAGGACAGGGCCTTCATCAGCCTGAACTGATGAGTGTGATGGTGGCGGCCCACAATCACATCACATTTAAACATTTTGATCAGAAACTAATTAGATAACTTTCACTGTATTTCATATAATGGCTGCCTGCTCCACCATAACCTGACAATGAATGGAGAAAAAACCAGACAGAGAAATTGGTATTTGTGCACAGGGGGCACCGTGACTGTGAACTAGGAGCTCCATGCAGGGACGGACTGGCAGCTTGTCTTTCCTTTAACGGGCAGAACAGCTGCTCAGTCCAGGGATGTGGGCCTGCCTCCATCATTACACAGAAATAAAAAAAACAACAACAAATAACCCTGCAGCAGGAGAACAGGGCTGATTTCAGAGCTGAGGTGGAGCCTGGTGCGTCTTTGATCACAGGAACAGAAAGAAACGGATCAATCCAGACCAAAGATACAGATTAAACCATCAAAGCAGGAAAAATTTAAGTTACAGCTCAATCAATGTTTATCTCATGTTTTGTAAATTGCCTATCATGAATAAAATAATCAAATGTGTTTTTAGGATCTGACCATTTGACAAAGATTCAACAAAATCAATTTAATCAGTTTCTAAGATTCTCTGAGTTTAAAAATGTTTGTTTATTAGATGATCAAAGATTCAGATAAAGGTTTTTTTTAAATAACTCCGAAGCTTAATGATCTTCAGTGAAAAGCTTTTCTCATCTTTTAGTTAATTTAAACAACTATGAAGGAAAAAATTAGAAAGCAAATTTTTGTAAAACTTTCAAGTTCTACTAAATGAAAATTAAGTTTTTGCCTCAAAAGATAAAACAACCTTTAAAAACTTTATTCTTCAAAATAATTTCTCTGCTGAGAAAACAGGTTAGTTTTGCTCCTTTTCTCTCTGTGTTGGTAGAGAGAACATAAAAATCCTGACTGGGTCTAGTTTGGTTCTAGATTGTAATTTCAGACAGGATGATATAGATTGAAGTGAACAGAAGTCCTTCATCAGCAGCTGAATCCTTTTAGAGCTCTGCTATTCACAGCATTAAAGCTGCAAACAGAATCAACATGGACATTTCCTCCCTAAGAAAGGGGGAATGGACGGGGAATGTCTGCGTCTAACAATCTGGTCCATCAATGTCTCCAGCCTCCTGTCTTCATCCATGTCTCTATCAGTGTTTTTCTACACTGCAAAAACGATCTAGAAATAAGTAAAAAATTTCTTAAATTAAGTGTATTCACCCTTAATTTGAGCAGGTAAATGAGATAGTTTGCCAATGGTATGAGTAATTTTACTCTTGAAATAAGATAATTAGATAAAATGCACTTGAAATAAAACAATGCAGTTGTGTTTTCTTATTTTAAGTGTAAATTCTCTTGTTCCATTGGCAAAATGTCTCTTTTACCTCCTCAATTCAAGAACAAATGCACTTATTTTAATAAAAAATGACTTAGCTAGATTGAAATTTTTTGCAGTGTACAAACTAACTGGGCTCCAACTGGACAGATTCTCTTCCTGATTTTCCCTGTTTTGTTGCAGCTCTTACGTCATGTCGTTATCAATATGGAGAGAAGAAATGAGCCAGTTTGGAGAAAGAAAGGAGTAGAAAGTCCAGATATTTGGCTTCAAATGTAGGAAGGAAAAGGAAAAAGGATTCTGAAAAATAAATACTGAAGTAAATAAGAAGTAAATCAGTCAGAAATAAAAAGCTGCTTAAGTTCAGTAACTAAGTATTTGTGGCTCTAGGCGACTCTGACAGCAGCTGTTTTTAAAGAAAATATATTACAATAAAATGATGAATTAAAATCAGCATTAAAGTATCATTGAAAGATTTGGTTTGAATAAACAGAGAAAACTCACCTCAGTTTCTTCACTTTGCAGATTGAACTCTCCAGTATCTCACACAGATGCTTAATTCCAGAGTCTCCAAAGGATCCACCTCCATAGATCTCCTCTATTTCCACTTCAGTCAGATGAAGGTTGGACTTCAGAGCTGAGGCCACAACTTCCCATTCAGCCTCAGAGAGAGAACAGCCACCAAGTCTGTGATTAGAGGAGAAATAAAGTCAGTTCTAATGAAATCAATCAATCAACCGAATTTCAAATTGACCCTTAGTTTATTTACTGTTTTTACTTATTGTTTTAAAGTTATGATTTAAAATCCTAGTCCACACGTATCCTCATTCACATTTTCCCCAATATGATCACATTATGATATATGTTTATATTATTTATCGGATGCATCTAAAAATATCAAAGATATTTTCAATTTAAACATAAATGTGAAATAATACAATATAACCTACAATAATTTAAATGATCTCATTGTACTAGGTCATCAAATCAAATCAATTCAGTTTAGTCTGTCCAATCAGCTGCCTGTAGTGTCTTTAAATGTCCAGCAGGTGTCAGTATTCTGTGAGACAGTATCAATGCAGCATCAATCCAGTTTGGCTTCAAGATGCCTCATTAACCATCACTGCTCCTCATCAATGTCCTGTTTGACACCACAGAGAATCTCTTCAGTCTCTTCAGGTCCTGGTTCAGCTGCAGACCTGCTGTGTCTCTGCTTTGGTTAGAAGCTCCATTGAACCACAGTGATGGACGGTGTTAGTTTTTTTGGAATATATAAGAGTTATGGTATAATTTCTAGTCACCGATCTGTTGCTACTATATTTTTTGCAATTGCAATAGCGGATCTTGACCTGGCCGGACCGGAGCGGAGCAAAAAATAGCTCTGCTCCGAATTTTTTCGGTGAAGGACGGACAAGACGTACGGGGACGGAGACATGCGGAGGAGTGGCGGTGGATGTGGAACAGCTCACATTGATTTACATGTAAGAAAAGTGCTCCACACGACGTACGTCAGCGGGGCGGAGCGCTGACGGAGTATGTGGAATCTGGGGGTTAGCCTTCCTCTCCTAGATTGAATCCCCCCTGATGTCTCCATGGTTTCTGGTTTGTTTTGACTTTGTTTTCATGTTTTGATTTTGGGATTTTAGATCTTTGGACTCCTGGGTTTCAGTTTGTTTGGACTTAGTTTTTCATGTTTGGATTTTTGGATTTGCTGCTTCTGTTAACCTTTTATTAAACCCACAAGAAAATCAACTCTGCCTCTCTGCCTCTGAATTTTGGGTCATCTATCCACTACCAAATCATGACAAGAGTCAAAGATGTTTTATCACACCACACTCAAACAAAATAAATACAAATATATATATGATTTTGTGTTTTGCTTTGGTCAATAGTATTTTGATTTTGTTAAAGATAGATAGATGCATCATCTGACACGTGTGTCCTGATAAATGTGTATCATGGTAACATTTATCTCCATCATCATCATCATTGTAGCACCATAAAGTTCAGATATTGTTTAATGGCAGCTGGGATTCCTCTCTGTTATGGTTTGGTTTCTCTTTTTTAAAGTTCTGCAGACATTGTATTGCTCACTTAGTTCCAAACAGAAACATCCTGCATGTCTTCAGAAAGAAAATAAGGCTGTATTTATTCAGTAAACAAACTACTGCACCTCCAAGCCTGTGGTATCTTTTTAATTGGGTGGCTGTTACTAGACTGGTGGGTCATCAGTCTTGCAATTCAAAGGTTTTGGGTTCTATTCCAGCTTTCCCAGTTGACATGTTATTTCCTTTGGGCAACGCACTAAACTAAGTGTTTGTCAGTCTGAGTATTGATGAGTCAAAGTGTGAACATTAGAGATACTGATGGGATAAATGTGACCAAGATTAACATCATATTGAGAGTTAAGTAGTATTTGGAAAGAGCTTCATAAATTTAGTCCTAAACAGTTTATTCCATGTTGTGTAACTAATAAAGACATTAATAACATTCAGAACTGAGAGTTTTGATTTTTTTTAGTTTGCAGTAAAACATTTTCAAATTCTCACCAAGTTTATTACAAAAACATTCAACATTATAAAACAAGGCCTCAAAATGTAACTTGGACAGATGTTCAGACCTGAGAGTTTCCAGTTTGCAGTTTGGACTCTTCAGTCTAGAAAACAGCAGCTTCAATCCAGAACCCTGCAGCTTGTTGTTACTCAGATCCATCTCTCTCAGATTAGAGGACTGGGAGCTGAGAACTGAGGCCAGAGCTTCACAGCTTCTCTCTGAGAGGTTACAGTCATTCAGTCTGAAGACACAGAGATAGAAATGAAGAACTATGATTTAATAAAACAAAAAAATGCATATTAAACATAACAGATGAAACACACAATTTGTTTATGTTGTGTGACAAAAGAAAAAAGAGAAAAATATTTATTGTAATTATGTGACATTACATGGGTACATGAAACAATTTCTATAGCTGCATCAAAATTTACAGGAATGCTTTTCAGAATTACAGAAGCCCTGGGGCGCAGGTGGTTGCTTTTTTTATCCAACAGACCCTGGAACAAACTACAGGCAAGAGGTCTATTATTCAAATAAATGTTCAAAGGGCTGGTTCCTAAATACCCCATCTTCCCACTTAAATGAGTTTGTTGTAAATAAAAGGAAATACACTTCAAGCACCTAAACTGCCATACCAAACTTTTGGTTTCAATTCTAACATAGAGTTAACTAAACTTTAATTAATGCAGTTTGGAGGATCAATATTTCAAAAAATTACATAAGCAAATAAATAAATAAATGACTTACTATTATCCATTGGTGAAATAATAGCTTAAAATCTATTACGTAATAATTACGTATATGAAACTCCCTCTCACCCACGCCCCTACACCTGGGTGGGGTGGGGGGGTTCTTTCTTCTCCAGTTCAGATCCTCTACCAGAGACCTGGGAGTTTGAAGATTCTTCTGATTATTTAAGCTGTTCCTAGAACTGAGATCTCTGATGTTTCTAGGGTTGTCACAATACTAAACTTTTCAACTCGATACCGCTACTAAGGAAAACATTCGATACCCAATACCATTTTCGACACCACAAGGATAAAAACAAAGACTCCAAAATTCAACAGAAATATTTTCATTAATAAATAAAATATAATAAATAAAAACAATAAGAACAATATTTTTAGGTAGTATGCTGTGCACAATATTAAGCAAGCATGAAAGAAAACTTATAAAATTAAAATTAAGTGTTCCTTTCTTGGCTATGCTTTGTACACATAATAATGACACTAGCCAAACCGGTTAAGAAACAAATATAATTCTCAGCAGCTGCACCTCTTACAAAAAAAAGTCAGAAACTGAAAAGTGCACAGAATTGTTCAATCACACAGTGATCTGAAAGTGCATTGTCCTCTATTCTGCACTTTAGATGAATGACCGCTTAGGTGCCACTGTTGGTGGCACTGTATCGATACTTTTAAAAACGAGTATTGTATCCGGATACAACATTTCAGTATCGATACTTTTTTGAGTATTGATATTTTTGACAACCCTAGATGTTTCGCCAGGTATTTGTTGGAGCCATTTCTCTAGTCTGGAGGTTACTGCCCTACATGCTGTTGGGATCTGGAGGTCTGTCCACTTTCTCCACCAGAGGGCGTACAAGATCTCCTGGAGCTGGAGCTGATTGCACCACCTGTCGCTCATCTGCTCATCAGGAGATCCGTATTTAAGGAGACAGAGGACTTCTCTCCAGTGCCAGAGTGTTTGCCAGTAACGGTTAGCAAGCCTGAGCCAACCAGCCTGTCTGAACCTCTGACTCCCTGAAAACCTGAACCTGATCTGTTTTCTCCTCTCTGCTTCCTAGATTGAACCTGCCTGAAACCTGAAACCCTGAAGAGTTTCATTGCCGGTGATCTGTCTGTCCGTTCTCAGATGAACTCCGGAGAATTATTCATGTCAAAGATCTGCCTGCCCACTCTATGAAGACACTGGAAGGAAACTCAAATCTGTGATCTGCCAGCACTCGAATTAAGCTCTGCCTTCGCCTAGCCCTCAGCCTGCCGACAGCCTCTGGACCCTCAAGGTTCCCCCCCTCTGCCGCTCTGCTCAACTCCAGAACAGGTACAGCTCTGCACACTCTCATCCTGCAAAATACCTTGACCTCAACTAACTCCTCTGTCCCCCTCTGCAGAGAACCCACTCATGACCAGTCCTGGATCTGATTTCTCTGTGTGCTTTTCAGAACCCACTCGTGACCAAACGAGTTCCCCTCTGGACCTGTTCATTTATTGTGTTCAAACTTATCAATAAATCTTTGAACTTTTCTCCTGCCTCTGAGTGTTCTGCATGTGGATTAGACACCTGAATCCGAAAATGACAGAACACTCTGGCCAACAGACTAACCCAGCGGAATCACTCAGGAGGATGTTGGAGCAACAACAAACTCTCATTCAGAGCCATGACACCGCCCTCCGTGAGTTAAACACACGTCATGAACAAACAAATCGCTCATTACAGGAAATAGCCGGCTATCTTCAGAACGCTACACCTGGAACGGAGACCATTCAACTTCCGGTTCAAGATAGTAATCCTCCACTCAGGTCAGAACCCAGCCCGTCGTTTCCTGAATTCCGCCCTTCACTTCCTGAAAAGTTTTTTGGCAATCCAAGTAAGTGCAAGGCATTTTTTTTCCAGTGTAAGCTCATTTTTGAGCATTCGCCGTCAAGTTTTCCTAATGACAAGAGGAAAATAGCCTTTATTCTGTCTCAATTGTCTGGAAAAGCCCTCAAATGGGCGGAAGCCAGATTTTCTTCAAAATCTAGTTTTGATTGTTCATTTGAGGAATTTATCCAAGAGTTCATGCAAGTTTTTGATGAAGACACTGATAAGTCCACTGAATCTCGTGGACTTTGGAGTTTAAACAGTGAAATAGAACTGTTGCTGAATTTTCAATCGACTTCCGGGTTAAAGCTGCTGCTTCCGGATGGAATGAATCTGCGCTCAAAAGCGCTTATTTCCATGCTCTAGACGAATCAATTAAGGACAAGCTGGCCACTCTCGATGAGCCAGCGACCTTGGAGGAACTCATAAAGTTAACAATCCGCTTGGATAACAGACTGCGAGCCAGATTCAAGTCTAGATTTAGAAGCCATGTTTTTTCTGTTTCTGCCCCAGCAGCTAAGACAAATGACTCAGAAGCTGAGTCCAGATTAGAGACTGACATGGGAGTGGATTTTCACTCCTGTCCTGTCCCACTCCCACAGAAAAAAATGGTGTCCCGTCCCGATCCCGGGCCAGAGTAGAAATCTAAATCCTGTCCCGTCCGAATCCTGGTGAAATTACTCCCACTCCCATCTGTCATGATCGGTTCTCTTATGGAGACCCAAAGATGCAGAACACCACTGACGGACACAGGATGAAAAGTTTAACAAGTTTATTTGCACAATCACACTGAATATGCAGAAGGCTGGTTCGGGCCTGGATTCTGGTTTCACCGGAGTCTGCGTGAGAGACAGCACAGTTAAGGACTGTTGACGGGGTTGGGTTTCCAATGGTGCACAGATAGTACCTTGAGGGTTCTTGAGGTTCTCTTTGGGAGAGTCACTGTTGGTTCTGGAGAAGGATTTAGTAGCAGAGTCCGTTAGCTGCTTCAGCGTCTCACGTCTAGCTTGAGCAGACCTTGGCCTTGGTTTCCCAGCTCTAGCCCAGAGCTGCTTGGGGGTTGTCTGAGAATCTTCAGGGTTTGGCTCTGAGGGTCGGCTCGGCAGGTTAGCTCTTCCAGAGCTTTCACGGAGGAAGCACGAGTTTCCTAGAGGCACAGAAACAGAGGTTAGAATCCAACTAGGGATTAGAGTCATGGAAATAATCACTTAGATCAAGGCTTTAGCGCTGACCAACTGGAACAACACTGCGGCGTTGAGGCAAGGTCTGAAGACAGCTTATATAGTGGATCCTCTGATGATCTTGATGAGCTGCAGCTGTGCAGGAGGCTCCCTCAGAGGATCCACGGCGGACTCTGCTGGAGAAAGATGGGATTTTCTCCAGCTCCCAACAGTCCCCCCCCCTCAACGACCGCCCCTTGGCGGTCCGGAGGAAGTGGAAGGGCAGGAACGCTCGTACTCCTCGATGAGAGCAGGGTCGAGGATGTACGAGCCTGGGACCCACTGACGATCCTCCGGTCCATAGCCCTCCCAGTCGACGAGGTACTGCCATCCGCGACCTCGTCGACGGGAGTCTACTATGCGGCGGACCGTGAAGGCCGGATGGCCATCGACTTCCAGGGCGGGTGGTGGGGAGTCGGATGGTGGGCACAGAGGGCTCGAGGAAACAGGCTTGATCTGGGAGACGTGGAAGGTCGGGTGGATTCGGAGGGAAGGAGGAAGTTGAAGACGGACAGCTGATGGGTTGATTACACGTGAAATCTTGAAAGGACCTATGAATCTCGGGGAAAGTTTTCGAGACATCCCCTTGCCCACAGAATACTCAGGGGTGGGGCGTCTCTTAGCGTCAGCGAAACGCTTGACTGACTCAGATGACTGGTTGAGTGTGGCGATGGTCTCCCTCCAAATCCTCCGACAGCGGCGGATGTGTTGGTTTACGGACAGCACCGATATCTCTCTCTCATCTGCGGGTAAAAGAGGTGGTTGATATCCGAGACTGACCTGGAATGGAGACTGTCCAGTGGAAGCGGAACGGAGAGAGTTGTGGGCATATTCTATCCATGGGAGGTATTGGCTCCAATCCACCGGGTTATTTGATGTAAGACAGCGGAGGGTGGATTCCAAATGTTGGTTCATACGCTCGGTCTGGCCATTCGTTTGAGGATGGTAACCTGAGGTGAGAGATGGTTTACAGCCGAGAGCAGAACAAAAAGCCTTCCATACCTGGGATATGAATTGGGGACCTCTGTCCGATAGAATCTCCTGGGGGATGCCATGAAGCCGGAACACATGTTTGATAAGAAGCTGGGCTGTCTGGAAGGCCGTGGGAAGTTTTCTCAGGGGAACTAGATGGCAAGATTTAGAGAAACGGTCGACAATGGTTAGTATGGTGGACATACCTCGGGAGACAGGGAGACCGGTGACGAAATCAATGGCTATGTGGGACCATGGACGCGAGGGAACAGGTAGTGGTTGAAGGAGACCAGAAGGAGGTTGATGTGAGGCCTTGTTACGAGCACATGTGGGACAGGCCAACACATACTCTTTTACGTCTCGATGGAGCGTAGGCCACCAGTAGCGCCTGGAGATGAGAGCGACAGTCCTACTCACTCTTGGATGAGCGGAGAATTTTGCGGCA